TTTTTTTTGAGACAGAGTCTCAAGCTGTTACCCTGTGTGCTGTGGCATCACAGTTCACAGCAACCTCCAACTCTTGGGCTTAAGCAATTCTCTTGCCTCAGTCTCCCAAGTAGCTGAGACTATAAGCACCCACCACAACGCCCAGCTATTTTTTTTTTTGCTTGTAGTTGTCATTGTTGTTTGGCAGGCCTGGCCTGGCTTCGAACCCGCCGGCCTCAGTGTATGTGGCTGGCACCCTAGCAGCTTGAGCTACAGGCGCAGAGCCCTGGATGCCTTTTATTTCCATTTCTTGCCTAATTGCCCTGCCCCCTGGCTTTTGAGCCATCTATTTTTCTTTTCTAATTTGCCCTTCTTTTATTTTTGATGTGATTTTGGTCACTATCTTATTAACATACAAGTGCTATTTACATAGAAGAGATACTACTCCTTGTTACATGTGTGTTGTAAGTATCTAACCCCTGCTTCTTGTTCTGGGATATCTTAAATGCTTCCTCCTATGCCACCTCCCTGTCTCTACAGTGGACTTTTGGGCAGGTTAGCCCACCTCTCTGATCCTCATCTGTAATGATGATTTCTTCATTGCAAGGTTTTTGGGATTTTACAAGGTAAGGAATGTGGGATGCTTCTTGAACAAAATATTCTGTTCAAATATGCATCATCATTATTAATAGCAATGCCAATAATGAAGGTCTACAGACAGGAAGCAGTCAGAATAGCCCTGAAAAAGGCCTGCCTTTCCCAGATACTGAAGGCGCAGACAGGATGGGGGAGGCAGAGGATGAAGACTCAGGCCACAAATGACCCTGGCTGAACCACTAACTGGCTGTGTCCTTGAACCTTGATTTTTGGGGCTGCAAAATGAGGGTGGCAGTTCATCTGAGGATCCCCATGGCTCCCACCTGGGTACGTAGCACGCACTTTTCAAATACCCTGGGATTTTACCTCATTTTCTCCTCACACCAGCCTGAGGTGGGCACAACATCAGTGCTGACTTTGAGGCCGGCACAGGTTCCCTTGCCTGGGTCCCCATCTGTATGTGGCAGAGGTGGACAAGGAGCCCAGCAGGCTGGAGTCCATGTGCTCATTTCTGCGCTTTCTCCCCCACAGTTACTCAAGTGCTCAGCACAGGGCCCATCACAGAGTAAGCTCTGGGTCTTCTTGTTATTATTGTCACCGATATTCTTCTTTTTGTATTGTTGTCTTGGAGACCTGGGTGGGCCAGGTGGGGTCCATAGTGCTAAGTAGGGCACTGGGCTTGAGATATGTTGACTGAAGCTTTGTATCAGGGTTGAGTCAATCCACTAACAAATCCATAAAAAATGGTGGTTTAACTCCAGCTGGAGTTTATTTCTGGCTCTTGTTAGGGCCTAAAGGGTTTGTCCACCCATTCACACTTCTACCATCTTTGCTTCCCAACGTAGAAGTGGCATGGTACATGCTCATATCCCATTAGCCAAATTTAGTCACATGGCTGCCTAGGTGCAGGCTCACATTCTTTTGGCTTGGTCCAATTTCATGGCTGCTCCTACCTGCAGGGCCAAATGGAAAATTGAGTTTTCCATGGTGGTCACATCCCCAGCTGCAACTCTGGGGTGGGGAGAAGAGATACTAGAGGTAGACACCTCTAGGGATGGGAACTGGGGTTGAAACTACTGAGGGATGAGGCAGGTTCTTCCCCCGGGCTTGGCCATCACATGGGGCTCCAGGCACAGTGCACTAGGTCCCAATTCTATCCCTACCACTTTTGCACAGAGTAACCCACAGCTTTTCTGTGCTTCAGTTTCCCCATCTGTAAGCTAACAGAACTAGACCTTCCTCCAGGGCAGTAACACATAGCATAGCACCCATTAGGCACCCAGTGTTGTGTGTGCTGATCTAGACCCAATGTCTCTCCATCCTTCCCAGCAAAGTGAATGAATCGTAAGCTCTTCCAATCTCCATCATCTCCTCAGAGGGCCACCCCAGGCTCCACACGTTCCCTGTCAGCATCTCAGCTGAGGCTCCCAAGTTTTCTGTGGGACAGAGGCCCAGGTTAGGAAGGCCCCTGGGTACTGCAGGGGAGTGAATCAGTATAGTCTAGCCATGAACAGTGAAATGCCATCCTTCATGGTCACTGCCATGGTGAGGGAGCTCTAGCAGCCTTAACTTCTACCACTTCTCAGATGGCAGAATGCAGGCCCTGGGTGAAACCTTACTTTGCCGATGCCCCATTAATACCCTGAGCCCTAAAAAGAGCAGGGTCAGTGGCTCGGCGCCTATAGCTCAACTGGCTAAGGCGCCAGCCACGTACACCTAAGGTGGCGGGTTCGAATCCCCAGCCCGGACCCGCCAAACAACAATGACGGCTGCAACCAAAAAATAGCCAGGCGTTGTGGCGGGCGCCTGTGGTCCCAGCTACTTGGGAGGCGGAGGCAAGAGACTCGCTTGAGCCCAGGAGTTGGAGGTTGCTGTGAGCTGTAATGCCACGGCACTCTACCCAGGGGGACAGCTTGAGGCTCTGTCTCAAAAAAAAAAAAAAAAAAAAAAAAGAGCAGGGTCAGCATGGCTGGGGAAGAGGCGGCTTGACCTTTCTGAGCCTCAATTTCCTCTTCAGGTGAATTTAGACATGGGGTAAGAAATGGGCTGCTGTGCTCTGTAGCCGAAGACCCTGCCTAGGCACATAGCCAGCCCAGACAGCTGTTCCTGGATAGACACAAAACATTTGGAAGATGATATTCAGTCTATTGCACATGTTTTTTAATATAATTTTTGAAATCAGAGTCCACAGAGTTTCCTAGAGAATTGGTCATGAGTTGAGAGAGTCCAAGTAGGTTTTAAGGTTTGGGGCCTAAGCAACTGAAGGATAGAAGGACCACTTTAATTAAAATTAAAGTTAGAATGGGGGAAGCTGCATGACAAGCAGGTTAGGGGAGCTCAGGAGCTTGGCCAGGTCACCTCAGGCTCAGTGGGCAATAGGACATCTGTGCCTGGTACCCGGGTCACAGTCTTGGCTAGAGACATAGTACACAGAGAACAACGGAAGGTTGTAGTGTGTTAGCATGGAATAATGGGGTCCACCAAACTCTGTGCCACCTCTGTCTCCACCATCATCCCCATCTCTGAGTAAGTCTTGGTCCCTGCCTGTGCGGAGGGAGGGACAGTTGCCTCACGGCAATCTTTGCCTCTGCACATGCCATGCATAGCACAACTCCTTCTCCCTATTCTATACCTTTTTTTTTCTTTAATATTCCTGAAAACAACAAGAAAAACATGCTTCCAAATATTCTATACCTTTGACACACTAGTGCTACAGTGTCAGTGCACAAAAAACAGGAAATTCTGGAGAAGCAGGAGGAAGAGCCTTTTACACTTGGGCACTAGGAAACAGGCTTGAGAATGTCCTTAGCAGTTTCGAGTCATCCTTGAAGATAACTCAGATGCAGAGAACAGTGAAACAGAGGCCCATTGCTCAGTGAGCACTTCACTGCTGTAAAAAGAAACCAGCTGCCGATACACTCGAAGCAGGGTGACTCTGGTGCATTTTGCCAGGAAGGAGAAGCCAGACATAAATGGGCACAGGGACCTCCTTGCCCACCTCTGAGTCTCTGTCCTGTAACCTACGAGCTGTGTAGGAAATGATGTCAGACTCCTGCCCCAATTGGTCATCTGTCAAATGGGGATAATGATAGTTCCCCCTGGGAAGGTTGCTGCCTGGAGTGATGAGTTAGTGCATGTAAAGTACAAACAACAGTGTTCAGCCTATGATAAGTCCCTTAGAAGGCCCAGCTGTTGTTATAATTTTATAAAAATTCTTGTGATTGCTGGTGCGTCTGAAGCCTCTCTCCTTGTCTTTATTTAAGGACATCATTGTAACTGCTTTATGGCATTTTGTTGTCTGGATGTACTTTGATGAGTAAGTCATTGCCTACTGATGGAGACATAGGTTGTGTCCATCTCTTCACTAATCTATATGACTGTGAGATGAGCATCCTGGTACAGAAATCTTGGCAGCAGGTTTTTTTTTTTGTTTTGTTTTGTTTTTTGGCCGGGGCCAGGTTTGAACCCACCACCTCCAGTATATGGGGTCAGCGCCCTATTCCTTTGAGCCACAGGCACTGCCCGTTGGCAGCAGGTTTTAATTTCCTTTGGCCATCCTCGGGTGCGTGCATATACAGTGTAAGGTCCTTTACGTATTCATCAAACTCCATCAGGAAAGGTTTGGATCTGCACCCAGCCTGGAAGGAGTCACTCCCCAGTCCTGGCTGACTGGCACATTATCTTCTTTTTATCTTTGCCGCATTGATGAGAGTAAGATTAGCTCTCATTTGAATTAGCATTTCTTTGATTACCTGTGTGTAAGCATTTTTTCATGTCTGTTGGCCATTTGTATCCCTTGTGAATTGCTTATTCACATTAGTCCATTTAAAAAAAAAACAAACGATGTTCAGCATTTATTGATGTGTAAGATCTCTTCATAAATTAAGGCTTTATTTAATGCCTTTGCTATACATTTTCTAAATATACTTTGCTAACTTTTTCCATCTGAGTTTATGTTTGTTTTTCAGTTATTAGAAAAGCACAGAAGCTTTTGCTTTTTACTCTTTGTTCAGTCAAATCTGTTGATCTCATCTTCCTCTTTTCTCCTTGATTTCTGCCTTTCGAGCTATGCTTAGATAATAAAATAATTGTGTATTTACCTTTATTGCATCTTCCTCTTTTCTCCTTGATTTCTGCCTTTCGAGCTATGCTTAGATAATAAAATAATTGTGTATTTACCTTTATTGTCTTCTGACACTTGTTTTTTAACATAGTGATCCTTAGAGCATGTAGACATTTGTAGAGTGTACTTCATGTAGGGATCCGGCTCTGCTTTGGCCCCCGTCTAGATGGCTCCATGTGGCCTTCTCCGGAGCTTCCTGTGGTGGTTGGAGGGCCCCTGCCTCCTTCCTGCAGCTGTGCCAGCACCTCCCTCCGTGGTTCCTGCCCTGCCTGCCATCCCTCACTGCCACCTCTCTCCCTAGGCACATGTGTTCAGCTGCGACTGCCCCCGCAGGGCACCTTCCAAGTCCTTCGTGGTGATGGTGCTTCCGTGGGAACTGTGCTTCTATTCCACTGTCCCTCCGGTCATCAGATGGTGGGGTCTGGCCTCCTCACCTGCATCTGGAAGGGGAGTGTTGCTGAATGGTCTTCAGGAACCCCTGTGTGCAAGTGTAAGGTCCCCTTCCTCCTGAGCTACCTAAAGCTCAGTAGCTGTGGGGGGTAGTGGTAGGGTGGTCCTAAATCCCATCACATGGCTGGTGTTGATGTCCACTCACAAACTGGGCCATTGTTTAGGGTCCCATTCCCAATGCTGGCAGCTTCCTTGCTCCATAGGAGCCATTGCCCCTTAGAGTGCCACGTCTATAGCATGGACTCAAGGCCTGCCAGTAGGCCTCCAATTTTGGCTCGGCCACAGACTTGGCCCTTCACTGCCAGGAGGTTACCTGTGCTACTTGAGCCTGTCACTTTGGCATCTGTTAAGTGGGAAACTATGTTCATGCAGTCATTCTTTCATGCATGCTCATGGCAAGCCTTAATAGGATATTCTGTGTACCAAGAATTCTAAGTACTGTGGACACAGAGGGCCTTAATGTGCCCAGCTCTGGAGCTGCCAGTCTAGGGGAAGACATAGTTTTCTCATTTTCTGGTTGTATTTGTTGTAGAGTGTTAAAGGGCCCATGAGATCGTACCTGTTGAGCATGCAACGCAGCATGTCATTGCCAAAGTGAAGCTGAATGTGTTATATTAATGTGATTTGTGCATAAAAAGGGCTCAGAGTCAAAACAGTTTGGCACATGCTGGGTTTATGGGTTAGAGGACTTCTCAGAGCTTTTAAAATGATAATGTGCTGGTAATGAGATCTGTTAGGATTAGATTCCAACAGGCAGAAAACCCAGAATTATAACAGAGTTAATGACAGTGGAGCTTAACCCTTAGGATGGGGCAGCCAGGCTCATGGTACTTCATGGAAGTGGGACTCAGGCCTCTTCCCTGGCATGCCTCTGTTGGGCGTGGCCTCAACATCATGATCCAAAGTGGTAGTAACTGTATTCCAGACAGTAGTAATGGAGTGACAGGGTCCCTAGGGTGAAAGGGCATGCTCCAGTGTCTCAGGGAAGTTCTCCTACATCACTTTCCCTTATCTGCCATTGGCCAAACTTAGCCATGTGACTATTTGGAAACATAATATTCATTCTGGAGCAGTGTCCAGCTAGGAAGCAGGGGAAATGGAAACTGGGAGACATGAGTATATGGTGTTACTCAAATTAGGATCCCAGGGCCTTTCTTGCCCAGAACTTCCCTTAGAATATTAGTTATTAGCACATAGCTGAGGTCACATAGCTAATTCATGGCAAATACCCTTTGACCTCAAAGATGAGCTTTGTCTTGCTTTTGCTCCTTCTTAGAAAGTGACCTAAGAAGGCATGTAGGCCCCTAAAGGGTTTTGCCAGCTTGAGGCATTGCAAAAACTCAGCCTTAGCCTGGACAAGTCCTCCTCAGTGCTGTGTCTGCTGTCATCTGCTCTCTGCAGCCCACCCTTTCCATTCCTCAGTCAGGACTCCAGTGGGTGGGAGAAGGGGCGGCCATCATGCTGAACTCTTTGTCAGAGCTTCTTTAGTTGGCCACTCTGAACTCCTACACATCCCGCAAAATCTGGCAAAAATGCCTCCTCCTTGGCGAGAGTCTTCCCTAATGGCCCCATCCCCAAACACAGTTTTCATAGACCTTTGCTCAGCCACCAGAGCTTCACTGCCTTCCCCATAGGATGGGACACACCAAGGGTCAACAAGGCCCCATCTTACTCCTGGACCCCATCCACCCCTCTCTTTGACTTCCTGGTTCCTGGGGTCCCATCCACCCCCAGGCCCTGTTTCCACCACCCCTGGGACTCCCAACTCTCAGGCCTGGTGGGTCTGGTGAGCTGTATCCAGGAGCTGGCAGTTGTCTCCTGCACAGCTATACCACCACATGAGACCTTCGGCTTCAAGGTGGCCGTGATTGCCTCCATTGTGAGCTGCGCCATCATCCTCCTCATGTCTGTGGCCTTCCTCACCTGCTGCCTCCTCAAGTGTGTGAAGAGGAGTGAGCAGCGGCGCTCCAACAGGTACGGCAGCCTCATGGCCTCAGGGTTCTCAGGGTGCTACTGGGAGTAGACTCTGTAGGAGTGCTTCCTCCTGCCACCCTGCTCTAGGCTCAGGTCTAAGAGTCCCTGGGAGGGTGCTCTGGCTAATAAGGGAATCAACAAGTGCTGCCCCAGCCTATATAAGCATTACAACTGTGGAAAAACATAGGCCAGGCCATAGGTTTATATTATTATTATTTTTTTAAATAGTCTCTGTTTGTTGCCCTGGCTGAACTCCTGGCCTCAAGTGATCCTTCAACCTCAGCTTCCCAAGGAGCTGGGACTACAGGTGCACGCCACTGTGCCTGGCTAATTTTCTATGTTTTATAGAGTAGTGGTCTTGCTCTTGCTCAGGCTGATCTTCAATTCCTGAACTTAAGTGATCCTCCTGCCTTGGCCTCCCAGAGTGCTGGGATTACAGGTGTGAGCCACTAAGCCCAGTCTGCACACACAGGAAATATATGATACATCCTGCTGTGCTAGCAGTATTCAGGGCAGCCACAGTCACCTCCCATACCTCCCGGGGGTGTCACTGTCACCACAGACTGAGGTTTGGTTGTATATATCCCACAGGTGATAGCCTAATGCCAGGTTTTATTCCTCACAGTAATTTATTCTTTTTTTGTTATTTATTTTAGTATTTTTTTTATTGTGGTAAAGTACACATAACATCAAACTTACTATTTTAATCATCTTTAAGTGTACAGTTTGGTGGCATTAAGAACATTCACAGGATTGTGCATCCATAAGCACTATCACCAGAACTTTCCAGCATCTGTTTTTGTAAATAAAGTTTTATTGGCACACAGCCACATTCATCATCTACTGGTATTTGGATGCTTTTGAGCTGCAATGGCAGAACTGTCTTAGGAAACAGTATATGGCTCACAGTGCCTAGAATATCCACTGCCTGGGTCTTTCAGAGGTTTTCTAACCTACTTGGACCCTGCAGTACCCTAGGCCAGGGTAGGGCACAAATGCCACTTTCAGGGACATATGTGCATGCTCAAAGTCCTTCACCCCAAACTTTCCTCCAGGTCAGCCCAGCTGTGGTACCAGCTGAGAGGCGAAGACTTGGAGACAGTTCAGGCTGCGTACCTTGGCCTCAAGGGCCTGAGCAGCAACAGTACCAGCAGCAGCAAGCCTGGGAGCTGGCCCATCCAGGCGCATGACAACCACAGCTTCACTATGTGAGTGCTAGTCTGGGCTAGGGGTGGGGGCCCAGTTCAGTAAGGCCCTGGAATAGCTGCCATTCCCACACACTGAGAACCTAGGCACCCCCAGCCCTTCTGGGCCCTGAACTTCATGTCAAAACAAGAGGCAAATGTTCCTTGTAACATTGTGTTCTGACTGTGACATGCTAGTACTCATAGCTTTCCCATCCTAGTACTCACAGCTGTCCTCTCCTAGTATTCACAGCTGTCCCATCCTTGTACTCACAGCTGTCCCATCCTAGTACTCACAGCTGGCCCATCCTAGTACTCATAGCTGTCCCCTCTTAGTACTCACAGCTGTCCTCTCATAGTACTCATAGCTGTCTTCTCCTAGTATGCACAGCTGTCCCATCCTAGTACTCACAGCTGTCCTCTCATAG